GGGAGCGGGGACCGGAGAGGGGACAGGAGAGGGGACGGGAGCGGGACTGGGGACAGGAGTGGGGGAGCGGGGACGGGACCGGGAGCGGGAACGGGAGCGGGACTGGGGACGGGACCGGGAGCGGGAGCGGTGCCGGGATGTGGGGTACCGGGTACCCCTGTTTGAAATGGCCACACAGCATCGGCATCCTGTGTCAGCTTGTGCGTGTTTTTATTAGTGACAAAGATGTTCATAAAGGACAATTCCTATTCCCTTTAACTACTTCTGACTATTGGAAACGTGGGATGGGAATGAACTGGGACGGGACTGGAACTGGGATAGGCATGAACCAGGACACAGCTGGCACTGGAGGGGCACTGGGGACACTGGAGAGGCAGTGTGGGGGCACTGGGGACACTGGAGAGGCACTGGGGACACTGGAGAGGCAGTGTGGGGGCACTGGGGACACTGGAGGGGCACTGGGGACACTGGAGGGGCACTGGGGACACTGGAGGGGCAGCGTGGCTGTCAGGATGTCACAGTCTCACCCCACTGTGCTGCTGCTCCAGGGTGAAGCCTGGGCACGGCCGGGGCACCGGGACACGCTCCCGGCTGAGATGGGGATTTGGGGAGCTGTAAATGCAAACCCACTGCTGAGAGCATCCAGCAAACCACACTGCCCTGCTGCCTCCCACGCCCAGCAGTAACAGAGGATATCGCTCCCTCTTCTCTGCACTTGTTAAACTTGTTTGTCGTTTCATCTGGGACTGTCACTTTCCTTTGTATTTGAATTTTGGAACAATAAGAGAGGTGGGTGTAGGATTTTTTAATGACACGTCGGGGGTTTTCCACCACGGTGAGCAAGGAAAGAGCACAAGGAGGCCCCAAGCTGTGACAGCTTAAATGGAATGGGATTTTGGGAAAATAATAAATGAGATTTGCAATGGCTCATTTGAAATACACATCACAATATTCTTCATCCCTCGAGCAAAGCACATAAAATAACCTTTAGAATCTTTAAATTCAGTCAGAAAACAAATACATTTCTCACCTCATCTGTGCCAGCAAGTTCCAGCTAAAACACAAATCCTGCAGGTGCTTGTAGCCAGTGTTGAAGCATTCAGTGGGTCCAGGTTTACAGGGGTGTTGGAGCCAAAAAAATTTACAAGTAATTGAACCATCCATATTTATTTAGACTCTGATTTTAATTGTTGTTAGTTTTGTTGAGAGATCCCTACTTTGGGGCTTCTTGCCCTTTTATCATGCTGCTCTGCTGTTTGTTTTGCCAGAACCTGCCCCGTGCCCACCACATGCATTCCTGCCTCTCTCCTCAGAGCTCACCAGGTACCCCAACCCTAAATCACATCTGGGGCTGTTTTTCAGTGCATCACTTCTAGCCTAAAGCTCACTTTGTATTTAATTATTCACACAGAAAAGTTTGCAGAATATTGCAGAATTATTGCAGACATTTCTCTGATCTTCCTGACCGTGTAATATAATTATTATCATTAATATTTTATAATATTACCATTGCCCTGGCTTCACACCTGCTGCCTCCCTCAGGTATTTAAGGAATGGGTGCATCTCCCCAAGGGCTCACTAAAACCTGGCTTGCTCATTAGGAACAGAGCTGCCAGGCAGCAGAAACTGGAGTCACTTTTTAGTCTTTGCCTAGACTGTAAAATTTGCAGATTTTCTTAAAAGTATTTTTTTGGTTAATTTTCCCTTATTAGCAAACATCTTGCCTTGGCTGGTTTGCTTCTGCACTAAGATTAAGCAGCAAAAAGGATTAAAAATGTCATTTTGAGAGTATAAGATGTTAAAGCACTAAATATATATAGCTGGAAAAGGCTTTTCCTTCTGAAGAAAAAAAATATCACTTCCAGAGAGATTTCTCACGCTGCAGTGGTAATGACATTTGATAAAGTCTGAGTCACTCACCAAGCCCTGACCCCTCTCAAAGGGTGGGAAAATATTTTGTGTTGAAAGCAACTCTGATGATCTATTACCCCTTCATCTTTTTAATATGGCAGGACAAGTCCCAAATGATCAAATTATATGGAATTACTGCACCTATGAAGTGAGTCTCACTGGAGAGCCGCTGCCATCAGTTGAGAACAGGTTGGAATTGGCTAAAGGTCAGTTTTAGGGGAAGCTGTGACCAACCTTTTTATTCCAGAGCGAGAACTCACAAAATACATTTTGCTTTCTATTTTTCAGAATGCTGCTTGCAGGCAGAACAGGTGCTGGGGATGTCACTTCATTCAAAGCCAATTGTGCAGGAGAAGAGCTTGTGGGAAGTTCAGTCTGAGCAATTTGCAAATGGCCCAAGTCTAAATCTGGGATATTATTCAGGAACACCTACACACCTACAAAACTCTTGCTAGAAGCTGCCCTCCCTTCTCCCCAGGTCCCAGGGATGCTGGGGACATGCCACAGAACAGCCACCACCTTCCAAGCCCAGAAGCACATCCTGAGATTTTTTTCTTTCTTTTGGGAGAAGGCTCCTCCTCTTGGGAGAAGGTGTTTTATTAGAAGGAAAAACTCCTGGAAAATATGCTGGAGAAATAAGTTCTTTATCTGGACTGTATTCAAGTGTTGTGCCTACACTGAATGTGAAGTGACTTTCTGATTCAAGAACCTTTTCTCTGTGATTGACTCTCTACAAATTCAGGCTTACTTTGATCAATAGAAAATGCTGACAATCACAACACAGCACCATGTAACCAAATGTCATCAAGCAAAAATAGTTTTTATTCAAATTTCATGGAAATGGGGATCACTGTACTTTGCAAGACAGGGAAAAATAAAATAAAAAAATTTAATATAAAACAAGGATATTGTCACAATACCAGAATATGGAGCTATAGTTCTTTTCCCTATAGATTACTGCAAGTACCTCTATTTTTTTTTTTTCTTTTGACTGTGCTATTCACAACTTTGTAAGTCCAAAAAATATGAACAAAAGTAGTATGAAACTTAAGACTTAGCACTTCCACTAAATGGCAGACATCAAAGGGCATCAATCGAGGGCAAAGACTGTTGAATCCATCATAGCTACCTATCAGTCATCACTGCAATCCCATAAACCCACCAGGGCAGTGCTCACTCCCTTCAAGACTCTCCCTGGGAAACAGGGCAATGTGGGGGCTCGAGGAAGAGCCATGTGTAAAGAGAACCTTTCTACTGGATAGAAAATGAGCGGAGCAGCCTCACAGCAGAGAGCGCTGCAGGGAGAGAGCGCTGCAGTTAATGACAGACAGACCATCAGGTTGTTAAAAATACATAGCATCAACAGGGTTTCTACTTCAATCACTTGGTTACAGCTACTAAACATGTACAAAAGACTTTTCCAACCATTCCAAGTGGGGTTGCAGCAAGGTTAGGATCTGGAGCGGGACCTTGACCGCGACCGGGAGTGTGACCTAGAGGCAGACCTAGACCTGGACTTGGACTGGGACCGTGGCTTTGAAACAGATTTGGACCTGGAACGAGAATCTGATTTGACATTTTGTTTGGACTTGGAAATGGACCTAGACCTGGAGCGGGACACTGCATCCTCTCCCTCGCCTTTCACCTCCTTCTTGTCTGACTCAGATTTGAGCTGCTCCTTTTCTTTGGAGCCTGACCTGGACCGCTCGTGGCTGTCCTTCCTTCTCTTCTTGCTGCTGCCTTTGCTGTCTCGCTTGCTGCGCCTCTTGCTTTTCTCACTCTTGCTGTGGCTCCGGCTTCTGCTTCTGCTGTCATCCCTGCTCCTCTTCCTACTTTTTCTTTTATCCTTGCTGCGGCTCCTGCTCCTGCTCTCATCCCTGCTTTTGCTCCTGCTTCTAGCCTTGCTAATGCTCTTCTCCCTGTCTTTGCTTCTACTCTTCTCCTTGCTTCTGCTCCTCATGCTCTCCCTCGCCTCTCCCCTGTCCTTACTCTCACTCCTGCTCCTGCTCTTTTCCTTGCTGCGGCTCCTGCTCTTGGCTTTCTCATCGCTGTTATGGAGAATGCCCTCAGATTTATCCTTGCTTTTGTTTTGGGATTTCTCTGCACTCCTGCTGCGGCTCCTACTTTTATCCTCTTTACTTGGAGTCCTGCTTTTCTCTTTCTGGCCTCTGCTACGGCTCTTGCTTCGACTACGGCTCTTGCTTCTGGAACGGGACACAGACCTGGAAGTGCAAAAGCAACAGACAGCTCTGCTTTAGTATGGCAAGGGCTTGAGCAGAGCGTGCAGGTAACAGGAGGGAAAAGAAAAACTGTTCCTGCTGCAAATTTAACATAATGCTTCTCACCGAAGAGGGAGCCCCCAGTTCTCCCAGGACAAAGACATACCTGGATCTGGATCTGCTCTTGGAGCGGCTGCTGCTGGCACTGCGGCTCCTGCTCTTATGGGAGTGTCTGCTTCGAGAGCGAGACCTGCAACACAGGGAAGCAGCTTCACCTTAGCACATGTCCATGGGGAGCTTGTGACCCCCAGGGCAGAACCCCACGGGGCTAAAGCACCTTTCAGCAGCCAAATGCTCAGAGTTACACAACACAGTTACAAACTCTCCCCACCTCTCCTGCCACGTCTGGCTGCAAGAAGGGTGCTAATCTGGAAGAAAACATGCCAGTTTATTTAAGGGATAACCACTTTCCCAATCAAATCACAGTTTGACTATGATGAGACACTGTCATAAAGCTTTGACTTCAGATTTTGATTTCATAAGCAACTTCTAAGAACAGTAAAGATTTCCCTGAGTTTTCTTGCAATGAGTTCTACCCCAGAATGGAAAGGGGAGAACACTTGGTGCTGCTGAAGCAGCTCTTGGTCAGACAAGGAAAGCAACAAATCTCTGAGAAACAGGGAACAGGTGGAGGTTTCCAAGCTGAGAAAGAACTGTTAGTCCTGGTGCTTGGAGCAGAATAGAGTGTTCAGAGCTGAAGTGTTGGAAGCACCTTCTGTTTCATTCCATGCACATGGCTCCACCCACAAGGAACAAGGGCTGAGTGTCAGGGGAGAACAGACAGGTGTTCAGGGAGCAGGTCCACACATCCACCAAGGGAGACGCCTCAGAACACATCCCTCATTTGCCCTGGATACTAATACATGCTCAAAAAACTAGACCTGTTGAGAGCTCCAAACATTCCCAAGGTGTTTTGGAACCCAAAAGTCTCAATCTGCTCTATGTTCATTAACATACATTAATGACATTACAGACATACCTTGAATGGCTTCGGCTTCTGGAGTAAGAGCGGCGCCGTCTCGATCCAGGTCTGTCTTCCACTAATCTAATCTTTCTGCCATTTACTTCTGTCCCGTCCAGCTTTTCAAGGGCTCTTTTCATGTCAGAATAGGATTTGAACTCAATCACACCTTCATTTTTCCTTCCTTTGTGTGCATCTGCATATGTCACTTCCCCTGCCTGACGCATATAATCCTAGGGGCTGACCCTGCTCACTCACACGATGCTCCCTGAGCCTCTTCTGTTCACAGGGATGTCAGCAAGGGTTTGGCCCAAACAGTATTTGTAGTGCCAAACAGCACACTATGACTTCAGAGTCAGTCTGATTAGAATCAGGTTGATCATTTTGAGCCAAACCATAACTTAAGGTCTCCCACTTCAAGTCTTAGATCAAATATACCTTGGGCTCCTAAGCTTCAAATTACAGAAGTGATTAAAGAAGTAAAATGCTTTCTGTCTAAATCATGTTTTCAAAAATAATTAGGAAAGGTGATAAAGGCTGGCTATGAAAAGGCAAGAAGCCCACCAAGAAGCAGAGCTCCCTTCATCCTCCACCTCATCAACACAGCTCGTTCTGCTGGAAAAACCCCAACAGAACTCCAAGCTCAATTCATTTTCATGCTTCCTGGTTTCTCCACTTCCATTCCTTAACCCCTCTGTTTATCAGGGGTCTGTTCTGCCCTGCTTTCAGCAAGCTGCCAGGCCAGGGTATTGTTCAGCCCCTGTGCAATTTGGCTGCAGTGGAAACAGGGCACAGAGCTCTGGTTTGGTTTGTTTTCAACCAGCTACTCCCATTTTAAGTAAACTAAATGAAAGCTATTCCCAAAAATGCAGTAATGCATCCATTGGAGGATTAATCATGCCATGCTCTACTTAGAATTTCAATACCAGAAGCAAAGACAAGCTACTGATGGTATGAAGCATTAACAACAAAGACACTGGAAGCATCTCCATACATACCTGGGCTAGTACAAAATTCAATTACAGACCAGTTTCTACTATGTCAGTTTGTTTAGAACAAATTTTACAGACCCTTGAAAGAGAACCATAAGAGAAAGTGTTCCAGTAAGAACAAGTGGGTTTAACAATTGCTGCTCAGTTTGATAAGCACTAATCTTTTTGCATCTTCTACTGAAATCCTGCTCCCTGAATCCACAATGTGGATAATCACGAGCCAACACGTCACCTCCAGAGTACTCAGAGTTACTGTGGGCTCCACAGTGTCACTCAACACCTCCACTACTGAGAATCACCTGCCACTCCTTTGGACTTCAAAAGTAAGTTTTTGGCAGAGATTCTGCATGATTACTCATTCTGGAAGCATCCCTTCCCTGAAACTCTTGTTAAAACAGCTTTAGATGGCGTGGAAATTCCTGAGACTGTGCAGGAACAATGCTATTATTTCAAACAGCTATAGCACCTTACGAGTTGATGGGTTAAACCCAAACTGACAAGGGCAAACTCCTCAATCTGTAGTGAATCCTACCCCTGGTGTGATTTGAGTCTGTTCTAACATGGCTTAAGAGAAGATAAAACACACCTGTACACAATGTTAGCTAGTGCTAAGGGTGAAATTATTCTCCCACTGTCCAGTGCTACCAGTTCTGGAGGTGCAATTCCCAGCCTCTCATGAATGGTTTCATATATGCAAATATACTCCTGCATTAAGGCATGAGTTACTTCCAAAATCTACTCCCCGTGGAGTTGCTCAGGAGTTGGAGCAAAGCAGAGCTGCACAGCACTTTGCCTTGCTGGAGACCTTTTACCCTTTGTACTCCTTAACAGAGAGAGGATAAGGAAAGGGGCCCCATACCTTCAGATCCTGCCAACTGCAGCGGCTTGACAAATTTTCCACAATCAATCTGTATTCTGTACGGGTCGGGGGACCGTACTTATCTCTTCCGCTTCTTCTATAACCATATCCACCTTTAGGAGGTGACAAGCAGACAGCAGAGCTTCAGCCAGGGAAATGGAGCCTTGCTCTCCGCCCCGACGGAACTGCTCTGCCCCGGGTGCCCCCAAAGACATCACAGACCCCCCAGGGCTAAATCCCACCCCCCTCATGGAACACCTCACAAAGACACAAAGCATTAAAACAGTTTTACTACGAGCTCGTAATTAAACAAGGCACACAACTATAATTATGCTAGAATTAACATGCAATTATATTTAATAATTTGAAAAGAAGTTTGAAAGAAGAAACTGAATAAAGCCAGTTGACTAATGTTACTTACGTCGTTTAAAAACTTCTGAATATCTGACATGAATAAAGATTTTCAGGCACCTATTCCAGATTAATCTCATCTGTCTCTAACCCTTGGGATCCTCACCACCCAGGACTAATGGGAAAAGCTTGCGGTCGTCACATGGCTTCTTTTTTTTTGGTCAGCCAAGGGCCACAAAGGTCAAAGAGCCACTCATGGAAAGGTACCCCAAGGTCAGCAAATGGAACGGGCAGTCATCTTAGCCTCAAAGGACTCTTTCAATTAAAACATTGAGGTCTTTGTTAAATCTATGTTAAACATCACATAGCAAATAAATCATTCAAATAGTTAAACGAAATGATAATAATAAAAATGGTACAAGAAACTGTGTTTATTAATGTATCAATTAAAAGAGTTTAATACAACAAACAAATTAATAAATATTCGGATCAACAATTACATTTATAGTTACAGAACACTAGTCACAACTTTGTATCACTTTCCTTTTAAATTACTTTTATAGAAGAGTAAAACAATGTTTT